AACATGTATTGTTATGGGAAAACGCGTTTCACATAACGAACTTTTCGCATAACAAACTTGCTCCTGGAACGAATTAAGTTCGTTGTGTGAGGCACCACTGTATGTAAAACCCTAATATGCAAATAGACTGAATGGCAGAACAACCGAACAACTGAACACTGGTCACTGTGATGTGCGCTGACCACCAGAGGGTGCATGTGGAACATGGAGGGCATTGGCAGCAGGCAGCAGAGCACATAACATGGCGGGCATCAGCTGAGGTGAGATGGTGGAGCAGATGAGTGGGGATACCATATCAAGGGGGGGCACCAGTTGCTGTCATCATCGCAAGCCTCTGGTGATTACTGAAATTTTTTTGCTCCCATGTGCCATGATCCTGCCTGGTGTTCACACCTGCTGCCAGCACTGGCCCCACATGCACCTGCACCTGGTGCTGGAGCCGCTGCTCGCACCCATTACTGGTGCCCATAGCTGGTCCTATGGCTCAGCACCATCAGTGGATGTGAGTGGTGGCTGCCAGCCCTGATTGCCCCTGAGGGCTTCTCCACTTCCCCGTGCAATCAGGGCAGTAGCCACCACTCGCACCCACTGACAGCGCTGGCCCACTTTACCTGCTGCTGGCACTAGCTCCAATCACTCTGCACCATCAGCAGGTGTGAGTAGGGCCTGCACCATCTGTGTATGGGAGTGGTAGCGTGAGTGGGGCTGCTGGCAGACAGAGGAATGGGGGCCGCAGTGGGAGGGCCTGGTGGGGTATGGAGTATTAGAACTGCCCCTGTGCACACCACAGCCTCGCCATCCACAGTTCCTTTTAAGGTGCATGAGTTCATGCACTGAGCCCCTAGTAGTCTGTAACATTCCAGTAACTATGTATGGTGTCAGATGGGTATGAGATTTATCTACTCACTGGGATGGACACCTGAAACCAATGTATGTCAACTCTAATTGAAAAATAAAAATAAATTATTTTAAAAAATGAATACAACTATTTAGGTAGCACTAGATTAAAACATCTCTACATTGACTGTGGTGTTAGCCCTGCAGCCCTATGAAGTTAGGCGGACAGGAGTTGGTACTTAGTGATTAGTCCGTATCATCCAGCAAATTACAAGATATTGCTTCTATGCATAATGAGGGGCAGTTACATATGGTGGGAAGGCTCTAAATAAAGGTCCAAATATCAGGGACATAGTTTTATTTTTAGCTTTGCTGGTAGTTTGCTGGCTGACTCAGCAACTTAAATTCATTTCTAACATAAAACCACTGGATAAGCCGGTCTCTAAAAGAGCAACAGAGCATTATGACTAAGGTTGGGATCCTGCCTGTGCTATTCAATTGCAGGTTGAATGTGGGCAAGTTCTTTATCTCTACTTGCCTTGTTGTTTGACCCATAAAAATGAGGATATTATGAGCTGATGTGAGGATTAAATAATCTAAGACATTATATAATCTAAGCACCTAGAAGAGATCTTAGCTCACAGTAAGTGTTAAAATGTTATTTAGCAACATCACCATCTAAAACCCCTCCAACCTGTGAAAGGACCTTGCCCTGCCAACCATGGAAATATATAAAAGGACTGGCTTTTCCAACATGGTTTCAGAAACCACATCTATGCCTGAAAAAGTTAGAAACTACAACATTATCTGATTAAAAGTTTATTCTTCCTCCTTTCAAGTAATACTAATAAAAATAAAAAATGTATAGACTTTGGTCAAATTAAGGGAGCCCTTTCTTACGGTAAGAGTGAATTTTGGTTGGAGGCGATCTAATGGGTACCAACAGACCTTATGACTTCTCCACACCCCCTTCCCCTGGCACTGGCCCCTGCTCAGCCTCTCCACATCTCAGGCGATGGCAACACATTCTCTGAGACCAGCTAAACCTAAATTAACTAAGGACACAATAGACAACATCAACATCAACATAAAGGTATAGGTGATGAATAGAAATCAAACGATGTGCCCTGAAGGTAGGGAATATATTTTTGCTTTAAGTGCCATGGAACAACCACAATAAACAAAGGAAACCACAATAAATTTCAAAACTAGAGGTCATTTTCTTTTCAGAATACAGTAAACTTAAAAATAAATTAAAAACCAGAATTTTAAGAAAGTTGTCATGTAAACAACTTCTGGGTTAAAGGGAAAGTACAAATCCAAATCACAGAATTTTAAAAATCAGTAAATTAAATTGATAATGAAAAGACTACATAATATGTTCTGTATCTAGAGGCTAGAACTAAAGCAACACTTACAGAAAATGTCATGGGCTAAAATAGAAAAGAAATAGTTATACAAGGTATGAAAGGAATGAAACTGAGAATCACCTCAAAAATTAGCAAAAAAAGAAAAATCCAAGGAAAGCAAAATGAACAAAAAAATAAATAAATAAAAGGAATAATGAATTGGATGTTAGGAGTTGGGGTTGACAGAGTAAATAAATGAATTCTTGGATCTTTGGAGCAAAATCAGTAAGATAGGTAAGCATTCTCAGAAACCAAGAAAGAGAGAACAAATGCAACAAATTAGTAACTAAATAAATAACAAGAAGGAAATAATGCAAGAAGCAAAGAAATTTTAAAAACAAGTTTGCATAACTTTATTTGAAAGAAGTGGATACTTTTCTAGAATATTATTTACAGGAACCAATTCCAGATTATCTAAATAAGCTAATTTTCATAGAAAAAGGATGAGAAAATTGTAAAGGAATTAATTTTTAAGAAGTACCATGGCTAGAAGTTTCCCAGGCAATTGAAACAAAGCTTAAAGAGTGGATGAGCTCATTATTTAAATTGTTCTAGAACACAGACAATGAAGAACAGCTTCCAAATTCTTTTCATCCAGCAAAGATAGCACTGATAACTGATGCTGTACAAAGAAGCAACGATGAATGAATCTCACACATGAATATTGATGCATAAATCCCAAGTAAAATATTAGCAATCAGAATGCAGCAGCACACTAACAGAATAATACTTCATGATCAAGTGCCGCTTATTCTAAGAACAAAAGACAGTTAATCAAAATAGACCTAAGGAGAAAAATCATATGATCACCTCTATAGATACTGAAGATGAATTTGACAAAATTCCACACAAGCTTGTATTTGCATAAAGAAACACTCGGAGGACAGTTGAGAAACTAATGAAATGGGTGGTCATGGGGCAGAGAGCGGGAGAAGGCAATGGGGCAGAGGCAAGCACGAGTGGGCAAGTTTCTCAATGTACCTTATATCGCTTTTCTTTAGAGCCATGTGATCCTTTTAGCCATTTGAAAATTAGAGCTCTTTGAAACTGACAAATATTATTATTTTTGCTACCATTGAATTCTATGCCAGGCACTTTGAACTGTGTTTTTGCTGAAAAATGAAGCTTCCAGTGAATCCCTTGTAGGTCAGAGGTCACCAAAATAAAGACCAAATGTGCTTGTCACTCTCCTAAACTGTCTCTCTGTGCCATCTTGACCATAGGATGTATGCTGATCTTGTTCTTGCTTTAGCACAAACTATCCTGCTCATGGGCTTTGATAAGTCCCAAGCCCACAATGCTGGTCTCTCTGCCTTTGATGAGAGGAATACAAAGCCCTAAAGGATATACTCAAGTCATTCTGGCACAGCCTGGCCTCCAATCATTTAAAAAAAAATCTTTATTGCTTAAAGCATTGCATATAGTATTACTAGTACATATGTCTCCTTTTCCCCCCATTGACCTCTTCCCGGCCACCCCCACCCCCCAGCACATGCTCTCACCCCCCTAGTGTCTGTGTTCCTTGGTGATGCTTATAGGCATTCATACAAATCTTTTGGTTGGTCTCTTACTACCCCCCCCCCCTTTCCCTCCCCCATTTCTTCCTTCTGAAGTTTGATGGTCTGTTCAGAGGTTCTCTGGTTCTGGCTCTATTTTGGTTCATCAGTTATTTTGTTCATTATATTCCACAAATGAGTGAGATCATGTGATATTTATCTTTCTCTCACTGGCTTATTTTGCTTAGCATAATGCTCTCTAGGTCCATCCATGCTATTGCAAATAGTAGGAGTTCTTTCTTTTTTTACAGCAGTGTAGTATTCCATTGTGTAGATGTACCACAGCTTTTTAATCCACTCACTGCTGATGGCTGTTTCCAAATCTTAGGTATTGTAAATTGTGCTGCTATGAATATAAGAGTGCATATGTCCTTTCTGATTTCTTGGGATGTATTCCTAAAAGTCAAATGGGAGTTCCATTTTTAATATTTTGAGGAAATTCCATACTGTCTTCCGCAGTGGCTGCACCAATCTTCATTCCCACCAGCAATGCATGAGGGTTCCTTTTTCTCTGCATCCTCACTAGCACTTGTCGTTTGTCGATTTGTTGATGATAGCCATTCTGACAGGTGTGAGATGGTACCTCGTTGTCGTTTTGATTTGCATCTCTCAGATGATTAGTGACTTTGAGCATATTTATACATATCTCTTGGCCTTCTGTATGTCCACTTTCAATAAGTGTCTATTTAAGTCCTTTGCCCATTTTTTAATTGGATTGTTTATCTTCCTTTTGTTAAGATGTATGAGTTCCTATAAATTTTGGAGATTAGGCCCTTATTGGATATAACATTGGCAAATACATTCTCCCGTGTGGCAATCTTTCTATTACATGTAGCTACCTTCCTAGAAAGGAACAGTGAAGTGGTTAAATGGGCCGTGTTGCTCAGGACTATAGAAAGGGTCCTTGGAAACCCACTCCAGCATGCTACAGGCATTGCCCCTCATTCATCAAAGACCTACTTTGTCCTGGCACCAGGGACACAGAGCTAAATGATTCTTCCCCTTCCTGCAGAGAACTCAGCCTAGAAGGGGACACAGGCTGGGCTACCTACTAATACCTGCTCCTGCAGACACACACAAAAGTCACAGAAAGACGCAGCCAGGGAGCTCCAGCCAGCCAAGCCTTACCAAGTTTTTATGGGGAAGTTGGAGCTGCAAGGCAAAGAGAACTCAGAGTGAGAGCAAGAGGCCTTGGCTCAAGTCTCCTTTCTGCTGGAAAGGCCCTCCACCCCCTCTCCAACCCCTCTAGCCCTCAAGTCCCCTCCACAAAGACAAGTCAGGGAGGGCACCCTCTGCCCTTCTGTCCCACACAGACTGGTGTGCTTCATGGTGTCCGCCATGCACCCCTGGGACTTTGCCCATTCCTTGGCATCCAGTTGTTGCTTGGTAAATATTTCTCAAGTGAATAAATGAGTTGTAAGTTATGTTTTTTAAGGAAAGCTGGCCAGGAAGTTTTGCCTCAGCGTGTCCTCTTTCTTGGGATAAATCTCTCTGGCAAGCAAGAAAACCATTCATGTGCTTATTCATTTCTGAAAGGGACTATGTGGGGCAGAGTGTTTGAGGGCAAGACTAACCTTAAAATACTTGGAAACAGTAATGCCCTGACCTGAGTCCACTTAATTATTTTTGTTTTCTTTGCTCTGCTTCCTCTCTGCTCTTCACTCCCCACACAGAACTTCTCCTCTCCCCATAAACCATAGCAAGGATATCAAGGGAGTGGTTGTTTAGGTGCAAACACACTTCAAAGGGCTGCCTGGAGATTCTCCTCTTGGCGGGTAGTACGCATAAGCCCCATTGCTATTTACTTACTGCCTGATCTCCAGCTGCTCGCTGAACTTCTCAGGCCTTAGTTTCTCCCTCTATAAAAGAGAAATGTCATTTCTACTCTGTTTATTGGCCATGTGTGTAAAACTCATAACACAACACCTGGTACACAATAGCTGCTCAATAAACAAGAGAGGAGACTCTCATTTCATAATAGTGGTTGTTATTATTATTGGTGATGGTGATGGTGCGCTTATTGGCTCATTCCTCAGCCTCAGCACATTACAAATACCAATCAGCAGAGCCTCCTCCTTCATTCTATTATGTCTATGTGTGCAGGGAGCAGTGATGAGTAAACAAAGATATTGAGAAATTAATTGAACATACTAAATGAGTGGGCAGTGAAATGGAAATCTTGGAAAATGAAGGCTGGAAAAAATACAACCAAGTCGCAAGGGACAGCACTGCCATTTAGATATCAAAGCCTGGGTTTAAGGACTCGGGACTCTGTTGGGAGGAAATTCCTGGTGTCTGACCCAAAACCTTAAGCTTCAACTTGCTTTGACTCCTTGGGCAGACTCTCACTGTTTTCTTCCTTCCTCTCTGCTCACCTTTGTCAGTGCCTCTGGGCTCTGCTTCCTATGCCCTTTTGTAAATGTTGGCGCCTTCCAGATCTTCCTCCTCAGGGTCTGCTGCATCCACCCTGACCCACCGCCATCCAGACCAGGACCCAGTAGTCACTCTTGATTCCTCTTCTTTCTCTTTCATTCCCCTGAATCTTAATACCGGTAGTTATCAGACTTTCCATCCCCCCTGGCTCAGTCTACTTTCAGACACTAGTAACCGCAGCTAGACTTCCTGGTGGCCCCCAAATGTCTCTCTGCTCTTAACTACCACCCATCCCTTTCCCAATACATCCTTCACCCTGCAGTCAGCGTGACCCTTTCAACACAGTCTCTGCTACCCTCAGATAACAGTCAGGGCCCTGAGGCATGGTGCCCAAGGCCCTTCAGGACCTGTATCTTATTCACCTTTCCAACCATATCCTGCTACCTCCCATTTTTCTCTCCCTGACCCTCCCACACTGCAGGACCAAAGCTCTGCTCTCATCCCTCAGCATCTTTTCCCACATGCTCCTCTTGCTGGGCACACCTTCCCCCACCTCCTTACCAGAACTCAGCTCAGGGACCATCTCTAAGAAACCTTTGCTGACAACACCTCACCCCTCACTCAATTTACTCTTCTTTATTGCCCCCAAACATCAAGTACACTAACAGTATCATAACACTCATAACACTTATGACATCGGGTTATGGTTACCTAACTGTCCAGCTCCCTGTATGAGGTAATGCTGAAAAGTGGGGGCTCCAAAGCCACCTCACATGTCATGTGCTGATGTTACCACCCATTAGCTATGGGGCCTGGTACAAGTTTCTTATTTCCTCTGTGCTTCATTTTCCCCACCTGCAAAATGAGAGAGTGATCATGGTGCCTGCTTCTCAGGTTGTGGTGTGGATAAAATGAGCTCATGAAGTGGTCTGGGGACAGAGTGTGGTGCACGACTGCCCTTGCAGTGTTACCCATTATTATTCGACTGTGATCGCTTGAGGGCAAGGCTCTGCTTTAGTCACCTCTGAATCCTCCATCTCCATACTAAGCCCTGGTGCTGACCTGATGACCAGTTTGTTGGAAGAGTAAACAGTGGAGATAAATTCAAACCAGTTGTTCTGACTTTAATACTCATGCTTTTGGAATTTGGGGGTTTCAATGGCTGAGAGTTTGGTCAGCATCTTCTTAGTCTAGAATAGGGGTGTCGAACTCAATCAGAGAAGGGGCCAAAATCTAAAATCCAGCCTAAATCGCGGGCCGAATGGTTTACTGAACAGTCATAAACTGTCATTGTGATGGAAACGCAGTGGAGTGCAGTGATGACAGCTTGGTGCAGGCCACATTGCAAGGCCTGGCGGGACGGATTTGGCCCACGGGCCTTGTGTTTGACACATGTGGTCTAGAAGTTCCTTTTCCAGATGTTGGTTGGCAAACTCATGCTTGTACTTTAATTTTCAGCTTCAAAGTCTCTGCCTTCCTGACCCTTGCCTGCTGTCCCAATGGTGTGATCTGTGCCACCCATGGCATTTCTCTCATTTTCTGGTGTATTCAGCACTCTGTGAGCTCTTTATAGGCAGGGCCATTTATGATTTATATCAGTATCTCCCATGCCTAGCATGGCACTGGCCTGTGAAGGTGATGGGACTAAAATTACCTGAAACTTGGTTTCTTCAGCATGTGGTGTGCTAACAGGGCGGCATATGATGTGGACCATAGGTACAGGTGTACTGTGGATGTGGGGGCTGGGCAGGACTCCACCCTCGTATCTCAACCTTCCCCAGTGAGACATCGGTGGCACCTCTGGGGAGAGCTAGACACAGCCCCACTTCCCACCTTCTAGCACCATCCTGGCTCCACCTCCATGAGAAGATCTGCAGGCTTGAGGTAGGTTTGCTGTAGGTAACCATGAGCAGCTGTCTGTGCAGCTCCTTCACCCCCATCTTTCCAAAAGAGTAAAGAAAAGAAAAATGTGCTTTGTCCTTTCAAAAGGCTAGAAAACCCTTTTGAGCCTTCATGCTAAATGTATGTCTTCAAACTCCATGATATGATTTATCTTCAGGAAACAAAGAAATGCTTTGTATTCATAATATTTTCTCCTCCTCAAAGTCTGGCTCTCCATAGATTACAAGTCTCAGTGACCTCAGTCAGCAGCATCTCACTCAGGACAATCATGAGGCTGTGGATCACAAATGAGGCACTGGTGCTTTCCTGTCATGGTTGCAGAGTGTTAGCAATTGACACTGGTGCTAAGAATTCAGTTTCCCAGGGCTATCTGATGAGAATGGACAGATCATTTTAAGCAGTTTTGGAAACTGTATCAACTAATCTTTTTGAGCCTTGATATCCTTATCTATAAAATAAAGACCCTATTAATGTTTTGCAGAGTAATTGTAAAGACAAAATGATGAAAATGGATATGGTTATTGCCCTCAAGGAACCTCTTTTCAGTCAAACTGAGAGCCGAGTCTTTGGCAGATCAGTGTGATTGGGGCTCATGGTGGACTGTATTAATGGTTCCCATCTTCCCGCTATATCTATGCTCATCGCCACACATCTCTGACTCTGAGCTCAGTTTTGTGACTTATTTTGGCCAAGGCATAGTGTGCTATTTCTGAGACTGGAGCTCAAGACCCTTTGCATGTTTCACTTTTCCTCCGGTACTGCTTCTTTCATTCTGAGGGCATGCCTGAGCCAGCCCCACTGATTCCAGAGGAGGATGAGAGACACATGAAGCAGAGCTGAGTCACTCAAAGGCAGCCTTGATCCACCAGACCCTAACCAAGCTGAGATTCCAGCTGAGAGCATCAAAGCTGTCCTGCCAAGCCCAGTTTGGATCATTGCTGGGCCCTGCAGATGTGTGAGGAAATCAATGTTTGTTGTTTTAGCTTCTGAGGTTTAGTGTTCTTTTGTTGTTGTTGTTACACAATAATAGTTACATGATACCTGATACCATGTGTCATATCACTGGGAATAATAATGGGATTGAGAACCCACAGGCTGGTTGGGCATGAGTAGTTCTTTATGAATAGTTCACCATAAGTGTGTTTATAGGATCGGTCCTTTTGGTATGAAATCTTGTTTGTAAAAAGTCAGATTTTCAAATAAGCTTTGTGATTAAAGAAGTATTCCCAGGTGATAAATAGCAATAGAAAGAAAGTACATGTAAAAGAGTTCCTCTTTTAGATCAACAAATTACCCTAGTCTCTGTACAACTAATCAGGATTTTTCTTGTCTGTTCTCTCCTATCCCTCACTTGCTATTTATATTTGAAGGACTATCATATAATTAGTGTTAAAGATCAATGTTAACTAAAATAAGGCATCAAATACTTTTCTTATCCAACATGTTACATATCATGTATCTCACTATTCATTTGGGAAAAAAATTATTATAAATTCTTTGTCTATTAGTCTCCAGCAAACAATGTCAGATTTAATTAGTTACTGTCACTCTTTGAAGTTTTGTGGGAATATTGTTATTAGTGAAATTGTGCTGTGTACCAACTTTGTTTACATAATTCTCCCTTTGTTCATAAATTCCTCTTGAATGCCCTTCATAGGACCTAAAATGTTATAAACCATATTCACATTGATGTTTTCATCCTATTTTACCACTGATCTCAATCTTAGCTGCCTAATAGCATGAGTTTGGCCATTAATCAACCTGGAGATTAGCCTAGTCTGGCTAGTTGCTGAGTGGCCCTAATAAAATTAAACTCTCTGAACCTCTGTTGCTTAATTTCTAATTGGAGTAAAAAGTATTTAACCCATGATTGTTGTGAGTATCAACTAGGATGACAGATTAAAGCACCCAACACAATGACTAGCACATAATCACACTAAATTAATATTAGTTTTCCATTTTTGAGTCTGAGGAACAGAAATAAAAAATACCAAAGAAGAGTGAACACAGGTGAAGGGACGTGCAGGACAACATCAAGCAGACCTACATATATACTGTGGGAGAGAAAGAAAGGAAAGCAGATAAAAAGGCAAAGAATGTTTGAAAGAATAATGGTAAAATTGAAAAAGAAATTGTTTTCTCACATGATTCAATGTTGCTTAATATGATATCCAAGCTCTAGCACATGTGATCATTCCAACCCTGCAAAAGGCCTTAAAGATTACTGATATAAGAATGCAGGCAGACTGTTAGGGTTCATACTAAGGGCTGAAGAGGTACAAGATGGCCATGATGTGGTAAGGGAAGTTGGCAAGTGCTCCTTGAAGGGGCGGATCAATAAGGTAACTTAAGATAGGCAACGTGGATGGGACGAGGTGAGAAGAAGAGAGGGGAAGATCCGCAGGAATGATGTATTTAGTGCTTGGACACTGAAAAGATGTGCACTGGGGACTTGAGTTCTGAGGGCATAATTTCATAGAGGTAAGGGGCATTTTGAGGCCTCTCAAAAGATAATCTCTAAAATGACAAAAGAGCTGACAAGTAGGCCCAATGAAGAGAGCAAAAGGAAACCGGGGCTAATAAGTTGCTTAGGAAATGATGGTCTCTACATCTGGGTAGATTAGTGGGGTAAAGAGTAGGAGTCAGTGGGTCTCTGGACTAGGTTTCAGAAAAGCTGTGGCTGATCTAGCATGACTTCTTACTGCCTCAGCAAATAAAGGCATTAAGTTAGAGATTCCAAGTTGAAATATTTGCATGTGCCAGGCAGGTCATATGACAACTTATTTGGTATGAATGTACACTCATAGCAAATGATGGGTTAGGGTAGAGCACATAAAGGCACTTTGATTCAGTTAAAACAGAACACTGGGCCCGTCATACAAAATTAGTCCAAGAGTTTTCCATGTTCTGGACTATGTGTTCCCATATCTTTGAGACACTATTTAAGATTCTTGTCTTGAGTTGTGTTGGGTTCAGGTCCTCCAAGAACCAGCCTCTAAGTATTAGGCACATAAAAGATCACTACATAATACTAAAGGGATAGATCCAACAAGATCCAACCCTGGTAAACATATATACACCCAATATAGGAGCACCTAAATATACAAAAATACTTCTGTAGGGCTTTAAGGGAGAGATCGAAGACAATACAGTCATAGTAGGGGACTTTAACACCCTGCTGACTTCACTGGAAGATCTTCCAGACAAAAACTCAACAAGGAAACAGTGACTCTAAAGGACACACTGGATCAGATGGATTTAATTGACATTTATGGAACATTTCACCCCAAAGCTGCAGAATACACATTCTTCTCAAGTGCACATGGATCATTCACAAATATAGACCACATGTTAGGACACAAAACAAGTTTCTACAAGTTCAAGAAGATTGAAATCATATCAAGCATTTTCTTAGATCACAGTGAATGGAATTAGAAATCAACTACAGTAAAAACACCCCCAAACATTCAAACACATGGAGCTAAGTAGCATGTTATTAAACAATGAATAGGTTACCAATGAGATCATGAAAGCAGTCAACAACTTCCTGGAAACAAATGAAAATGAACACACAGCAACCCCAAATCTCTGGGACACAGCAAAAGCAGTCAGGAGAGGGAAGTTCATAGCACTACAGGCCTACCTCAAAAACAAGAAAAAACTGGTAATAAGTTATCTAACCCTACAACTTAAAGAACTAGAAAGAGAATATTAAGAAAAGTTCAGGATAACTAGAAGGAAGGAAATAATAAATTTTAGAGCAGAAATCAATGACAGAGAGACTAAAAAAATAACTAATGAAACTAAGAGAGCTGGTTCTTTGAAAGGATAAACAAGATTGAAGAATGGTTAGCCATACTCATCAATAAACAAAGAGAGAGGACCTAAATAAATAAAATCAGAAACGAAAACAGAGAAATAACCACTGACATCACAGAAATACAAGGATTGTAAGAAAATGCTATGAACAATTATATGCCAACGAGCTGGATAATGTAGATGAAATGGTCAAATTCCTAGAAAAATACAATCTCCCAAAACTGAATCAGGAAGAATCAGAAAACCTGAATAGGCCAATATCAACTGATGAAATAGAGCAGTTAAAAAACAAAAACAAAAACAAAACTCCTAGCAAACAAAAGCCAGGGTCCAGACGGCTTCATAGGGAAGTTTTAGCAAAAATTCAAAGAGAAACTAACACCTATACTCCTCACACTATTCAAAGGTCTGCTTGCTTGAACCATGGGTGTCTTGACGGTGGTTATCATCTGGACTGCGGGCCAGTTGTTTTTCTTTCACCACATTTAAAAGGCTTCTTTTCTGAGGACTTCATAAACTTAAGAGAAATATTGAGTGGAGACAAACCCCTGGCTAACTTGCTAACAATGGGCTTTAGACAGTACACATGTGCAGTGACTGGATGCAAAAGTGACTACAGCAGGTGTTAACTGCCGCTGAATCTCACTCAATCCTGTATAACTCTTAGTGTGCGTCCCCTGAATTTTCTTCTACAATACATCGTCCCATGTGGAATCAGGTCAGTTCACAATGGGCTGGTCATGGCCTCCATAAAAGTTTATATGCTGACTGCACAGGCTCCTCACCCAGCTGCAAGTGCTTGAGATGGGGATAGAGAGTGCCTCGCGGACAGCCGTGTCCTGGAGCATTTGCTGTGATTGCCCCACTAGGCATATGTGGAGCTGAATGAATCTTCTTTGCAGCTGCCTGCATCACTGTCTACACAGGGTCTTTCTGTGCATGGCCTGCTGCAATAATTTTGTGGCTTCTCCTTACTTTTGGCTGGAGCAACTCCTGTGTTGAGTGCCACCTTATAAATCTCCAATCATTACTAAAAAATATTTTTTTCCCCCCTGAAGACTTCCTGTATTTCATTGCCAAATGTTATCTGTGCCTATAGCCACTCTGTGATGCCAAATCCTTTTGCAACATGGATGATTTGACCATTCTGAGCCCAATTATGAATGATCTCCTCGAAGGGAATTCTTCCACGTGATTGCTCAAATGTTGGCATGATTGCATTGTGTAATTCATTTTTTGCTTCTTTCTAGCTTCCAATAGTTGTTGGGAATTCTTGGCATTACTTGGCTTGTAGCTGAATCATTCTAATTTCTGCCTCTATCTTCACATGTCTGTCTTCCTCTGTGTGTGTCATCTATATTTTCACATGACTTTTCCACGAGGGCACCAGTTATTGGATGTAGCTAGAGCCCATTCTAATACAGTCTGACCTCTTCTTAATTAATTACATCTGCAAAGACCCTATTTCCAAATAATGTCACATGTGGAGGTTCTGGGTGGATAGGAATTTGGGGGGTACACTAGTCAACCCATTGAGCTTACAGTTTGCGAGATTTTGGATCCATTTCCTTTTCCAGGCACCCCTATTTCTGCTCCCTAACTGGGGCCTTTCTAAGAATAAAGTCCCACAGAGGTGCCTACAATTCCCCAAGTCTGAAATTTGGAGGAGTTCAGAATGTGAGTACAGTAACTGGGTTCTGTCCCTGGTACTGCTATAATTAGGTTACCTTTATTCCTCTCTGAGTCATTAACTTTAAAAACTGCTGGTTCGACCCGTGACAACCAGTGATACATCATCTTTAACCAGTGTGCATCACCATGAAAAAATACTGTTCAAGTACTAATTTATTGCTCCGTGACACAAATGGTGCATCTCAAACAAACTCAGCCAATTTTAGGATGATTTCTGGGCTTTTAAAAAGGCTTCTTCTGCCAGCTTTTGGAAAAGGTTGCTTTGGAGATTATTATTTTCTGTTTCAGGACAAACCCATGAATTTGGCCCCTTAATGTTAGCTATAGTGAGACGATGCATCACTTGTCCATAAAACTTGAATACTTGGGTGTCAGAAGTGATTTTTCTGAAGTTAACTTTTCCCATACTTGGAGTTATCAGTTTCTGTCGTGCTGGTGTGTATTTCAGTTGAGGTTTTATTACATTGTGTTGGCAGCACATTATGTTTTTTACACATGGATTTGATTGAGAAATGAAACTGGAATAAGAATGAGGTAGCAGAAGCATCTGCTGCATATTGCTGTTGTCAATCAGCCTGATTGATTAAATATGGTGGCACACTTTTTTATTAAAATGGAATACTTCTCTTGAAAAGGTATATTATGCCAATAGATTATATGACTTCCCTCAAGAATGTGCCCAAGGAACTGGCCCTGTGGAGGAGGACAGTAACTACCGATCGCTGGGACAAACTGGAGAGTTCAGATCAGATGTGGCTGGCTTTGCAAATTTAAATGTGGTAGTGTATGGAAGGAGTGGCCCAACATTTTCCCCTGTAAAATTCCTGAGTTTGACTGGGTCTCCAGACACTGTTCATTCATTTGCTGATGTCCTGGAGCCCACTTGGTTGTCAGGCCACTGGCATGACCCGATGTTTGAAATAAGAGCAAATATTCTGCCTGATGGACTGAAGTTCCGCTTCTCTCCTTTTCCATTCCAATCTATTTGAGCTGTCCGCCTGTTTATAAAGCAGGAAAACTGACACCCAAACAGAGACAAGAACAAAGATTCTGGAGAATGAGTGTAGATAGATCATACCATTGACCTGGATCAAGACCCAGCAAACGTTCTCTCTGTGTGCAAAACACTGACTTTTTGAGCAGCTTCAAAGAGGAAGTGGTGAGGGGTTGGTATTAGACCATCACCACGCAAAGAGGTGAAGCTGGAAACCAGGACTGCTCCCTGGGGGACAAAGCAATAATTTAATAGGTCCCATTCAGTGTTTTTCTTCTCCTTTTTTTTTTTTTTTTTTTTTTTATTTTGGTTATCCTCATTGGAGGATAGATACTTTTTTTTTCTATTGATTTTTATTTTTATTTTTGAGAGAATGAGACGGGGAGGGGGAGAGTGAGAAAAAAACATCGATGTGGGTCTGGGGATCGAATCTGCAACCCAGGTACATGCCCTTGACCAGGAATTGAATCTACAACCATTTGGTGTACAGGTTGACGCTCTAATCCAGTGGTTCGCAACCTTTCTAATGCCATGCCCCTTTAATACAGTTCCTCATGTTGTAGTGACCCCCGACCATAAAATTATTTTTTTTGCCACTTTATAACTGTAATTTTGCTACTGTTAATGAATCATAATATAAATATCTGTGTTTTCCCATGGTCTTAGGCTACCCTGCTAGCGGTTCTCAACCTGTGCTTCTCAACCTGTAGGCTAAGCAATGCTGGCCGGAGACTGTTCAGGTTTTTACTTGTTTCTTTTTAATATTTATTATTTTTTAATTAGAGTTGAGTTATAGTATAGTTTCAGGTGCACAACCCAGTGATTAGACATTTATATAATTTACAAAGTGATCAGTCTTAATGCGCGTGATTTTTTGCTTCACTGTGTCACTTTCCCTGGCTGGGGCTGAGTCTTGGAGTGTTGAAGCCCCCCCCCCCCCCCCCTTCCCCAGTCAGCCTAGATTTCAGGAAGCCTGCTTACTCATGAAGCCTGCTTACTCATGGCCCCCAGCAAAGTGCCTCCCATTGGAATAGGATGGTGACTCCAAGGCTTTGCATTAGTGTGGAACACAATGTTGCAGAAGAGGGCTTCTCAGAAAAAGTTTTCGATAAGGAAAGACAAACCTTCGGAGTAATTCCTTGAACATGTAGAACGCTTCTGCTGCAGGGCTGTGTCAGGAACAATCTTGCAGGATTGAGATGTTTTCAGCTGTATCCAATTTAGGTTTTGGCTTTTCTTACAGAGGGATTGCTCCCGAAACAATCTTTCTCACTCCCCCACCCATTCCAAAGCCTGTTTGTAGATTCTGGGATTGCTAACAGATTTTAAGAATAACAAGAAATCTCTGAAATACCATGCAGCTAAAAGCCAAAAGCAGGATCACTTGAGAACTTGCTTTATATTAAAACAAAATATTTTGTCAAGAGGTGGTCTTCAGCTGTCAGTCCACTTTCTTCTCTGGACTCAGCCATGAAGGGTGAAAACCCCACCAGGACTTGCAGATTTAAACTTGGGACTTCCTGTTGGATCCATAGACCTTCTTTTAGGGCATGACCTTCTCTTTTCATCTGGTTCCTTTGTTGGCATCGTGGATTCTGTCAATGCCGATCCATGAGTAGAGGCCACCTGATGATGTCAGGATCAGAACACCCAGTGCGTTGTTGGAAAGTACACAGCCATTCTGAATATCCAGCCAGGACTCTGGAGTTTGCCATTGCTAGACATCAGAGCAGGTAGGATATCACCAACCAAAGGGGCCGGCAGATATGTGGGGGTAAAGCAAACCATTGAGAGAGGTCCACAGAACAATCCAAATATGATGTCATGACCAGATTCAAAGGCTAGTGATAGAAAGTAACGTGTCAGTCCCTAATCCAGATCCTAATCCAGTGGCTATTTGGACAACTTAATATTTCTCACTTTCCTCATCTGTAAAGTAAATATTAAGCACCTTTCTTACAGAAGTATTGGGGGGATACAATAACATTCTATATAATAAAAGCTTAATAAGTTAAGTGTCTGGTCATCTGGTGACCAGTCGACTGTTCAACCAATCAAAGCATAATATGCTAAGGCCACTTAACTGCTTGCTATGACATGCACTGGCCAACAGGGGGGCAGACACTCTGACCAGGTTAGCTTGCTGCTGGGGTCTGGCCAATCAGAACTGAGGGAGATAGGTCAGACACACCCTGGAGCCCTCCCACAGCCCCTCCCGGCTGGCCAACCTCCTGCATCCCTCCCCTGGGGCTATCGTGCACCAGTAGGGTCCCTCAGCCTGACTTGTGCCCTCTTGCAATCTGGGACCTCTCAGGGGATGTCAGAGAGCAGGTTTCAGCCTGATCCCGCCGGCAACTCCCCTTGGGAGGGTGCCAGACACAGGGCTCACAGCTGGTAAGCACTACTGCTGCAGCGGGAGCCTCTCCCAATCGGAACTAATTGGGCAGGAGTCCGTGGTAGGTGCAGTGGGGCAGGGATGAGTGGGAGCAGCAGGTAGGAGCTGCAGAAGGCATTGAACTGTGGGTTTTGGCCTGATCCCTGCAGGTCACCCAGAGAGACCCCACCTGGGCATGAATTCATGCACCAGGCCTCTAGTAATGTTAACGAAATCTCTTGTGTAACACACAGTAAGTGCTTCATATGTTGTAGTGACGACTATGCTTTCCTCTATATAATGTCCTCCCTTCAAAGGCAGAGCAGATATGAATCTGAGGAAGTCTGAGCAAATACAATAGATCAGGTGAAAAACTGACTGGGCTGTTGGTGGAGTCTAAGAAAGAGATGGTCTGTTTGGACTTAGCCCTGGGCCCAGACTCTTAGAGCAAAAATTGAGTGGACGTGCACTATCTGTTTTTCCCCTTCTCATTTGTTGGTATCGATAGTTTTGCAGAAGTTTTATCAGTCTTAGTTTTTACCGCTATTGTTATTGTCCCACATTTTTGTTGAAGTATAACATACTTATAGAAAAGTGAGTAATCATAAGCTGACAACTAAAATTTTCAGAACTGGAGCACAATCATGTAACCAGTAGCCAAATCAAGACCAGAGCAATTCCTACCCTGTAGGCATCCACTTTCTGACTACTAACACCTGAGATCAGTTTTACTTGCTTTGACTATATGTAAATAAAATAGTAAATTAATCTCTTTTGTGTCTGGTTTCTTTCACTCACCAATTGTTTGTGAGATCCATCCAGACTGTGGCTTGTATTTCAAGTTTACTTATTATGAATACATGTCGCGAGTGTTCCACAGTGTGGATATAGCAGTATATTGACTCTGTTGTTGGAAGGTATGTGGGATGTTTCTAATTTAGGGATATTATGAACAACTAGAGGCCCAGTGAACAAAATTTGTGCACTGGAGGGGGGAGGTCCCCTCAGCCCAGCCTGCACCTTCTACAATTGGGACCTCTTGGGGGATGTTTGACTGCTGGTTTAAGCCTGATCCCTTTCACAATCCAGGACCACTGGCTCCTAACTGCTCACCTGACTGCCTGATTACCCCAAACTGCCCCCCTCTGATGGCCTGGTCAACCCCAACTGCCCCTTACCCCCACCAGCCTGGTCACCCCTCACTGATCCCCTCTGCCAGCCTTGTAGCCCCTAACTGCTTCCCCTTGCCTGCCTGGTTGCCCCATGTAGCCTGTTAGGTCATCCGTTCAGTTGTTTCAGTTGCAACGGTCATTTAGGCTTTTATGTATGTTTATAGATGTTTCTTTGACCATCCTTGAACTTTTCTTTTGTGCACTCACTTCTCTTGAGTTTCTCCTTAGGAATGGAATTACTGGGCCAGCTATAGTACATGCTGTCAAGCAGTATTCTAAGATGGTTGTACCAATTTATTCTTCCCCACAAGGTATGCAAATTCTTATTGTACCATGTCTTCCTCATCACTTGATATTGTATCTCTGTTATTTTAACTTTCCTGGTGGATTCAGTGTGCTGAACTGTGACTTTATATTTTCATTTACCTGGTAACAAATGAAGTTGGGCACTTTTTTAAGTTGGAAATTTGTGGCCTCAAGAAGTTAGAAATTCTCTTCAGAGACATCCAACTAACAAGTGATTATAAATGACAAGTCTCATGACAGGACATCAGCACTGCTTCTCCGAGCTGAGATGTGTATTTAAGCCACAGTGATCAGAATAGAGGAGGCAATGGCTCCTCATGCTCTGTGTCATGTCTTTGCATCTTGGTAGCATGTTCCATTCTGAACATTATGCTTTAAGAAGGATGAGGATGAATGAAGGTATGTTTGCAGGGGAGTGACCAGGTAAGCAGTCATTATCAGGAACAGTAAGAAGAACTGGGGTAATTTAACCTATAGTGAGAAGACAAGGGTGGGGGGAGAGACAGAAAAATTGCCATTTAATTTATGGGGGGCTGTCTTTTGAAAGAGGGGTCAGGCTTATCCTGTAGGATCCATGAAACAAAATAAAAAATATAGGCATAAAGATAATGGGATGGCAAAGTTCAAACTTTTGTTATCTTGCTCTTTCTCCTGGCTTGGCCTTGTGTTTGCCTAGATAATAAGGTCAGGGCAGTCTCCCTTGTATGTAACAAAAATGTTCTCATCTAATTTGCATAGGTTAGTTAGGTTTTGTAAATAGGGCACACCTGAGAATACAAATAGCACCTACTTTATAATGTCATCCTTCCAGCAAATATTATGCAAGGTCTAGATCTGAGTTCTTCACAAAGCTATTACATATTTATTAATATATTATTTTAAAAAGGTACTTACAAAGCAAAACTAATTAGAGACAGAACAGGAAAGCAAAAATCAAACAAGGAACACAGTGTAAGAAAACCTTTTATTGTGCTCAATTGACTTAAGGTGAATGAGAGATGCTGATGGCCTGGAGGAGGGCCAAGTTTGCACAAGGCCAATGAAGTTTGAGAAGTCCCCACAAGAATACAGGAAACAATTTGATTTTAAAGGAAGGGGTGGCTAAGCAATGGCGATTGAAAAGGAGCAGGAAGGCAGGCCTGACAAAGGAGGGAGACAGGCTCAGTGCAAAGGCAAGGAGGATGAGAACCTTGAGGAAGAGAGCACAGGATGAAAGAAGTGTGAGCAGGGTGTGATGGAAGAAGGTTTAGAAAACAAACAGTGGGAGTTATTTCAGATATATTGATAATCCATCAAATATTGTCTGGGTGCTTAATGTAAAATGTCAAACACAAAAACATTTATTTTTAACTTTACAGATATGTAAATGTTATACTAATTTAAATATCTCTCAAAAAGAGTACCTAATTCATAGTTGATTTTGACATGTATTTTCTCAACCAGTGGATTCTGAAAGTACAATTTCCAACATACATGAGTAAGGAGAATGTTTTTGTCATTTAAAAGGTTTCTTATACTTGCAATCACTGGTAAGAAGTTAGTGTGAAGTATGGTTGTTGGTGTCAATCTACAAAAAAAAAAAAGGAAATACAGAGCATTAGGAGGGAGAAAAATAGGCAAAGTGTGACAGGGAATTTGGGTTACTCGTCATTTTCAGGGCCAAAAGGAATCTAGGAGTTTATATTCTCCATCCTCCTACTTCTGGCCAGTGACAAACCCCCTTGGACAGATGACAATCTATGTTGATCTCTATCATTGTCTGGATTTGTTTTCCTTTTTTTTTTT